AAAGATGCAGAAACACTGAGCTGAGGGTAAGTTGGTGGTAATTCTCTGTGGATTGCTCACTACAGGTGATCACTTCCATATTACACCAGCCATTTTTCATGGCTAATATAAAAAAAACATCTTAGTGCAGCTGTAAGCATTATCCTCAAATTGCCACAGTGACACAGAGAAGGTGTGAACTCAGCAGAAGCTCCAACCACCTATGTAAAAGATGATCTGACATTATATTTCAGGAGAGAAGTTGGAGCAGTCTGAGTGTGGTCCTGTGCAGCTGGAGATTTTTTGGAGCCACCATCTAGTGGCCATTAGTGGCACTCAATCAGTTTGCAACCATGGCTGTGCTTGTGTGCATTCACTGCATCCAAAAATAAAACTTCTCCCTCCAAAAAATGACACAGGACAAGCTTTGGTGACAGCTCATGTTGGTTTCATTTGTCAAGGTTTTGAGATACGTGTCTCTGAGAATTCTATAATTTTTCAGGGTTATGAGTGCCACAAATGAAATTCCAGGCAGAAATCTCAAAGACTGATATACAAAAAACTGGACAAATAAAATGAAAGCGAATATATGTTTTTGTATATTTAATTTGGGTAATATGGCCCTTTAAATAAAAAGGAAAATAACTGCTATAGTTCTCTTGTGATTTTCTTCTGAATACACAAAATTTGTAACCGGTGATTGAACCTTTTCTTAAAAGGCAGTATTGTATAATTTTCTTGTTGTTAATCCTATTCAAAGACCATATATTTTCCATATTAAGTATACATGTTGAATTTAACACTCAAAGAGCAATAAAATACTGACACAAAAAAATAACATCCTCAAACATTATTTATTGGGTTTATGAAAAGTATTTCATGCTAATTATCTTTTTTGCAATGATTTGCTTAAAGCCTGATTTATTAGTTTGTGTATGTCATGCAGTTTTGGGAAAAAAGTATTTCCATTAATATACTTTAGCTATCTTGGTCAAACATGTTCAAACTAATATTTTTCTTGTAAAATAAAATGTTGGTAATACACAACTAAATGTGCCAAAGAATGGGTGAGCATTCCTGTGGAAGCTCAGTGTTTGATTAAATGATGTTTAACTATTATTTGGCCCCAAAGAGCGGGGGGCTTTATCCTATCCTGAAATGCATATCCAATGATTTCATTACATGGGCAAAATGAGGGCCATCCTGTTGACTAAAACCCACTGGTACTGTTAAACATACCCACTTTTCTTGGAGTAACTAAGCCGGCTGTTAATGTTATCTCTGTTCAGCCACACTGGTCATTATGGTGCCATGAAACATCAGAAGACATAAGACATCATGCTAAGTTGCTTTCTACACTCTCTTCACTGCCCTGCTAATGTTCTATTTGCCTGGTTGTTTTGTTATAACATGTTACAGTGTAACACTGTGACATGTGTAGCCTACCCGGAAAAGTAACTGCTTTGGAGCAGCTGCAAGAAGTGCACTCCGGTTACACAGCCTCTGTGAAATTTGAATCATATAGAGGAACCGCCTGACGGTGATTGGTCGAGAACGGCATATTTCCAGGGCGCTTGTTTGTCACTCAGCAGATCCCAGGCAGCTGATCGGCTCGCCCTGAAGAGGGCGGACCTTCTGTCTGACTATATACATATACTGGTTTCAGGGCATCTGCAAATGATTGCTGGCTTTCACAGGGAGGTGGATCGTTGTGTCCAATGTTTCTCCATAGAGGTGACTTAAACCTTTCTCCTCAAACAAAACGGTTCCAGCTAGAGCTGAGAGTTGGTGTTCCTCTCCCCGAGAGGAGCGGGAGGTGGATCAGGGGAACACAATAATGATCAGCACCATGGAATGCGCAGTGGACGCGCAAAGCCTGATCTCCATGTCCTTAATGAAGATCCACAATTCCAGGACGCAGAGAGGGGGAATCAAGCTGCACAAAAACCTGCTTGTCTCTTATGTGCTGAGGAACGCAAGGCAGGTCTACATCAAGGAGAAATACGCGGAGATCTACAGGATGCAGCAGTACGAGGAGGTGATGACGGTCTGCAACGAAATCCAAGAGCTCAACCCGCTGGATTTGGACGCAGAGGACACCGACGACGAGGAGCAGACGCGGGCAGCCTGCTGCGGCGAAGAGGCGAGTCTGTGCGACGCTGCATGCCAAAGAGGCGCAGCGCAACCAGAGGCGCACGCCCGGACAGCGAGCGCTCTCCTCAGCGGCTGTCCTATCGAGGACGGCGGCAAAGAACCGGAGCCGTCCGACTACCGAAGCTGCTGTATGGAGGCGTCCCCTCTGTCCCACTTTGACCAGTTTCCAGCGCTGCAAGACAGACATTGCAATAAAACGACAGTGTTGGATTTGGACACGCATGTGGTGACCACGGTGGAGAACGGTTATCTCTACCAGGACTGCTGCTGTGACGCGCTCCAGTGCGGCCAGGGCGCGCAGTCCCCGGCCAAGAAACGGAAGGTTGAATTCGGTTGCTGCATATCCGAGGTGGAGGAAATATCTGATTTTACAGCTGCTCGCAAAAGGGCGAAACGCGAGGACTGTTCTTACTCCAACCCGGAATACACAGACACTTCCAACATCTCAAACCTGATCTCCATCTTCGGCTCGGGGTTTTCAGGGCTGCTGAGCAGACAGACGGACTTGGAACAGATCTGTAGCAAACAGGCGTTGGCCAGCCTTGGAGCATGGACCCGGGCGATTGTGGCATTTTGAATCAAACACTTTATTTCACTGAAGACCGGGGTCAGTTGTAACACGTTTCCCCACAAAATATTAGTAAACAAAAGCCAAGATCCGTTTTCTACTGCCAGCTTTTGCACTGTTCTAGGCATAGTACGGAATATGTATATCAAACGTTCCTATTCCAAGAAACTTTCAGCAAATGCTCTGTAGAGACCATTTAAGAAGACCACAGGGTGATTGTGATTGTCCCTGATAATATTTATGTGGAAAAAAGTTTCTGAAACCTTCCAGAAATATTCTTTTAATAAATCAAGCCAGAACTTTCTTGGAAAGTAAATGACATGGCATTTGGAAGCATTCCAAATTAAGTGGGAAATGCTCTTTAACATCTTTCTTATGTGCAAATAGCAGATAAATATATGTAGGATGTGTAAGTTTATGAGTTAATATCTGATATATCAAAATTAGGCAAATTCTGAACTACATTTAAAAAACGTCGCCAATGTTCTTTATTCAATATGTTAAATAATAACAATTAATTTTAAGCTAAATACGTTTTAGCATGTGTTACAACTGACCCCACAGTATCAGCCATGGTAAAATATTGTGCTAAAATCACAGCAACTCTGGCATAAGCTAATCTCAGTAGCTTGTAGTTTCTCACACAGATGTAACAAAAACAGTGTTTCAATGTGTTAAAGAGTTGAATTAATCAAAAATGATACCTCAAAGCACACCTTTGTCTTAAAAATCTAAAACATATGTGACTGTGGTCAGTCGCTATAGGCGACATCACTCACACTTGCTTCTGATTGGAAGAAATGTAGGTGTTACAACTGGACCCGGTCTCTCCTATAATGTCTAAATTGACTTTATTTTTGCAAGAAAAAGAAAAGCTATTTAAAAAATTAACAATTTATTGACAATAATTTCAACAGGGCGAGGAATGAGGTTCATGCCATAAGAATCATGTTTCCTGTTTTCAGAATCCAAGATACATGTCTAAAGAAACCTTTGGTGACTTAAATCTGATGAAATAGATTGAATTTTGTTGCCTTAACACACTACTGCTAGCTATTGTCATACCTGAAAATACATTGAAAGTGACTGAATGTCTTTGCTGTCTCTTCTGTCCTGGGCCGAGGAGCTTTGTGGGAAAACACCACCTCCTGTTGCAAATGGGACTTGCACATTCGGAGCAATTTGTTGTCATGTGTTAACACCTTTGAGGTACATGGACTCTGAACCAGCTCATATCATTTGATGGGGTGCCAACAATTCGACTGTGTAACACTTTTTGGGCTATTACTGTCATTATCCTCCACCTCCACTCTGAGTTTGTGATAGTAAACACTCTGGGTCATTTTGGCAGTCCTCTCTTGGTCATGGTTGTTGCTCGAAGCCTTCATGGCAATTCATAACTCCAACCTGTTCTTGGTTTTGTGAGTTTTACTTTGTTTTGTAAAAGAATGATCTTAGTCCTTAGTCCTTTTGTTTTAAAAAGGCAAACTCATGATTTAGCCATAACCTGAGAATCCATGCATTAGCTTTATGAGCACTATGTGTACCAAAATAAAGAGAGTATTCAGCCATTCTCTACATATTTTGTTGTTATTCTTGTATTTTTGTGCTTAATAAATTGTAGATCACCGGGTAAAACTGTTTCAGAAAATATTTGTTTAAAAATTTATAATCTTAATAAAAAACAAAACCCTTCATTTTAACTGTTGTGTTCGTCTGTCAAATGCAGTTATGAAACTTCTTGTCACTGAGATACAGGCCTACAATCACTTATAATAGTCTGTGATCATAACACAGTGAAAAATTCCTTTGCTAGTGTTGAGCATACTAAGAAATATGAAATCATCAAGGTTTTTACAATAATAAAGTAGGTCTGCAGTTGTAAATGTTATAGAAATAAATGGACATTTTTGGGAAACAGGGATATTTGTTTTCTGTCGGAGAGTGAAATGGAGAGCTACAGCCAGCAGCCAGTTAGCTTAGCTCAGCACAAAGACTGGTTGCTTTTTGGTTTTAAGCAGTTGCTAGACGCTACTGGTCGCAGCTCAGGAATAGTCCAATATAGGCTACTAGCTTTCTCTTTTACCCATAACAACAAAGATGTAACATGATAATTAGTGAGCTTTAGAGGTAGTGGTGGACAGATTTATTACAGTTTGCCAAATTTCTTTTGCCCTGCTTCCAGTCTTTATGCTAAGCTAAGCTAACTGGCAGCTGGCTGTTGTATATTTTGGACAGGTATGAGAGTGATGTTTATCTTCTCATCTAACTCTCTCCCGGAAAGTGAATGTGTGTGTTTCTCAAAATATTGAACAACTGCTGGAATAAGTTGTTAACAAATAGACATTTTTTTTTAAAACGTGGCAACCTAAAAGTCATTGTTATTAATGACTTATAACTGATTTATAAATTTGAAAATAATTTAACATGAATAAAAGAATTAGATAAAACATGTAAACTCTTATAAACTGAAACCATTATCCACAGTTAATGCAATACACCCTTGTCAATACAACACTACTGACATGTCCTAATTGGTTGAAGGAGTAGTTCTTAATTAACAAACTACAGCCTGTAAAATCACACACATAGTCCAACCAACTCCTCTCTATCATAAGTTGAACATTATAAGTTAATAAAGATAGGACTTAGTGCAGGGCTGTTGTATTGGTTGCATTAGATTATACAGGGATTTTTGCTTTTTTGCTTACACTACATATAGGCTACTGCAACATTACTACATTTTAGTATATGCTACATTTGCTTCCTGCTCCAGTGACTCCACTGTATGTGACTTAGCCTACACTTCCCATCTCAACTTGGAATTCCTGCCCTAACACAACCTTGAGTCCTGTTAACTCTGCTCCGTGCCACTTGGTGGTGTTCTTCAATGTCAGCGAATGAAGATATCTGAAGGGGTGTGTATGCAGAGCAGAGCTATCACAACTGACCCTGCCTCACACTCTCCACTCACCAGCCCCCGACACCCTCCTCCTGCTCTTGCCTGGCTCGTTTTTTCTGCCTCTTGGTGTGAAGCGTCGCTCTGCCACAACACACCACATCCATCATTGCTGCCAGTTTGCTCCTCCAGCTCCGAAGGGTTTTTGTAGTCACCAGTACCTGTAGTAACTTGCAATAGGTGTTGTATTTGAAATGATGAGACACTAAACAATACATTGTGCAATTATACAAAAATGAGATACAGGATGATTTGCTATCTGATGACTTCCAGACACCATACTGCATTAAAATACTAAACCTTTGCTAGAAAATAAAGATTACAACAAAGCCTGAAACAATATCAGAAACACACCATCCCTCTCCGCTACCGACAAATGCTGTGGACAATGGTTGTGCTTCATGGTGTAGACACAGCTCCTCCATCTGGACTGGGAAAGGCTGACACCCATGGACACACACACACACAATTTTTGATTTCCTTTCTTGGCATAAGTGATATTTCCTTTATTTAATTTCCCTTATTTGCCATTTAGATATGCATCTGCACTTTTTTTTGTTTGATTTTGTCATAAAACACAAGAAAACGTACCTGGCAAGTATGTACAATAGACACAACAAGGAATACTGATTCAGTATTGTGAAACATGGATATCTGAAAGGATATTTGAAGACAATAAAAATAAATTCAAACAAAAAAAAAGAAAAATAAATAAAAAAATAAAGTTGAAGGATGACACAGAAACACTAAAAGTTAACTTGCTTCCAGAATATTTTAATTTATTTGACCAATCACTGAATTCTCTGATCAGCTGACCCACATTAGAGGATAATACCAGGTGGCGGGAGTAACATGAGGGAGGTGGGGAGTGTCGTGGTGTGTGGGGGTGCCGGGAGGAGGATAAGGAGGAGGGGAAGGCAGTAGTGGGAGGGGGCGAGGTGCAGTCTGGAGGGGGGTTAGCGGGGGCAGGGAAGCAGGGAGGCATGCTGGTGGCCTTGAGGAAATAGAGCTATTGAGAGGGGGAAGCAGACTGTGGCAGCAGAGATCACACAGGTCAGCCTGGTTGCTCAGAGGTCTGTGGGGGGAGGGCGGGGACAAACCAGGGCTCCGCTCATCATACGTGGATAAATGAGCAATTCAGATTAGAATGCTGATGATGCATCTGGATTTTTTAGCTCTATAAAGCTAGTTTAAATTTTACCTGGAGCTGTTGTCAGGGCATATGAGCATTCATTTGGAGCTGCCTTTCCAAGATTAATGAAAAACTGTCCATACATTAATTTTAAATGAAAAGATGCAGGTTATTGTAAAGTTACTATGGCCTGTTGGTGTAATTATAGGACAGTTATAGTTTCATACCTATATTTGTACATGATAAAACAAAATTAAATTAAAATCAACAAAATATAAATGAACTAGTTTGTACAAATTAAAAACAACCAACCCTGACTCTGACTGCTACATGGTATTTGATATTAAATGGGAAGTTATCTTTTGAACACTAAAACATATCAAACATATTGCAGGACTATGGTTCTTCTTACCATTGCTAACTCTGAGAGACGAGACAGTCCAAGTAACTACAAAACAGTGCTGATTTATTCCATGAATACAGGTAAAAATTAACATTACACGCTCAGGTATCTTGCACCTCCAAACTGCTCGCAGGCAGATGTAAGATGAAAGACCCTGAACCCACCAGGCCTATACATTATATCACCTCGGTTGGGCTAGCCCCATACTACACAGAAACGTCAACCGAGACGTCTCTCTTACCAGCTTTGCAGCTGGTCATAACAGTAGTCAAAACATGAAGCAAATCAATGTGTGTGTCTGTTGATTAAGTGATTAAACATCTCTAATACATAAAGTATCTATCCAATTTCTATCTGACTAAAAATACCTAACAATATGAAACAATTAACTGCAGAACCTACTTTGCTGAAATAGTTTATACCATTAAAGCTGCTCTTTGCCTCACAAATCATGCACCAACATTACTCAGTGTATATCCCATTTCCCTTAATTGCATCCATGTTTTCTTCATGTCTTTTCCTTTTGTCTTAGTCCCCCCATGTAAGATGCGAGAAAAAAATGCAAGGAAAAAATAGGCGGAGAAATGATCTGAGGAAACATGTTTTTAGAGACATGACACTTCCTCTGCTTCGATCCTTCATCTGTCACCAGCTGATTTCTGGCAAATTGACTGAATGATTTCTGATTTCTGGCAAATTGAATGTTGGTTCTAAAGACTTCTGTGAAGGATGCACTCATGTATCCTTGCTCATGGCTCCTCCAGCAGCCTCTTCACTCCTTGATCCTTGCTCCTCAGAGAAGGAATAAGATCTTAGGATGTCCTTCAGGATTTCAGGTTGAGCAAAGGAGGAGCGAGGAACAAGGAATGATCAAATAAGAAAACTGGGATTTACCCATAGTCTTACTACCCTTAGGAGTAATACCTAATTGTTATTAGTGAAGGGCAACAGACACAGACGGCTTTTGATGCACATCAAAACACCTGCACCGATTATTTTCAATGCAAGCCTATACACTGGCAGCAAACTGGATGCAATACTGTCCTGTTTGCCCAGTGTCATTGTCAGTGTCATTGTCAAATGACACTAATAATATGGTTAGACACATAAAAAGAGATTTGTATTCATGAATTTATTCCCCCATTGCATGCTGGGAGAGTTCTCAACACAACAACCTCACATAACTGCAATCACAGCACTCAGCCAATCATTTGAATAATGTATATTTTATACATTGTGCACCGTGCACCGTTAGTCAAGATACCTTTAACACAGCTTACCAAATCAGTCATCAAACTGCATTTAAAGAAGCAAGACTTGGTCTACCATACAAACTAAGCCAATGTTTGTCACTATTATGATATATCTATAGAAGTGTTATCTCACTTTCTTTTAGTGGTAAATAGCAATATTAAAATCAATTACCAAAATTGTTCTTGCACAACTCTTTATATTATGACTAAACTAATGCCTAACTGAGGGGTCATGAGATGACTGATGGGAGAAGAAAGAAGAAAAACAAAGTTCTTATACACAAATTTGTATTCACTTTTCTTTTCTATAATTTTAGATTTCTTTTTTGTAAAACGTTGTGTAATTTTTAGCCTTGAACAATTAGTTGTGTGGAATCATTCAGAGGACATATCACTCTTTAGTGGAACTGCTAACAACTAGACTTTATAAACATTTCAAAAGAGAGTCCCAATACATTGTTTTTAATAAACTTTTTATGTAGAATCTTGATCATGGAATGTACCTATAGCTTTGAGATTAACTCAGTGGAGTCAAAAGTAACATGCCCCTCTGAAATGGTCTGGAGTAAAAGTAAAAAGTGGCTTCAAATGGAAATATTCAAGTACTACAACCTTTACTTACAGTAAGTGTACATACTGTGGTTCCTTTCCACCTCTGCTCTCCACCATCTGAAGTCTACAGCCGCATCCCATTTCAGAAGCTGCCTCCACTTAAGCTCATGTTTCTAACTGACATGTCAGAACAGGTCGATGCAGCTGTCCCATTCCAAACATTCTTCCAAATGAGGCCAGCAAATTCAACCTTTTCTCCTCAGTTCTGTACCCTACATCCATCACATGCACTCACTTGTGAATAGTAAATTCAGGCATTTGTCCATAGCTCATTGTCAGCAATTTCCACATTCAGAATCCAGGAAAATGTTCAGTAAACCTCAGAGGTAAACAGGTTGTGTGCTACCCTGACTCTACTTTAGTTGTGAATTTTTCACTTCAACTTGATGTGTAATTGACAAACTATTATTTAAATTTCTGCAGCATAATTGCTTAACTGCAGAGCTAATAGTACCACACATAACAGTATTGTGTTTTCAAGTCCACTAAGTTGATTGCAAGAACATATGAAATTGATTAGTTGAATATGCTGAGAGACTGTTGCTCTAACAACCAGCACATTGTATTGAGCAACATGTTCAGGCTGTTAAGCAGAACAAGCGACTCCACCGCTCTCAGCTTGGCAATCCAACATCCTGTATGCAAGGGGAATTCCACCTCAGTCCTCAAGAGCACTGGTGGTAGTTTTTTTTTTTTTAAGGCTTGTTGTACAGTTTTTGAATTGTACATGTGAAATGAAGCCCTGATACTCCTGTTAACCACATCATCCTTCACATGAAGTATCCTGACTCATGCAATATTCAGTACTTTTTCCCTTCATCTCAGAATCCATCTGCCTCAGTGTTGGGTTCATCTGTGGGTCACAGGAAAGAGTATTTCCAATGAAACATTTGGCCTCATACAGCAAACACTCGTTTGAACGGATTTGTTCTTCAGTGAAACATAAAGGCCATTTAGATGAATTTCTCACTCCGATAGCTGACTCGTCTCTGTAGATTTTATTTTATCCCTGTCTACTAGGTCCATGTATGTCATGAGGACTGCTTTACTTTAGAGAGGTTTCTTTAACACCTAAATTCATGTACCTGAAGGCGCTCTTTTTTTATATTTGTCACAGCACAGCTCTGACGACATGTCAATGGCAGCTTTATTATTGTCCAATTGCTTCAAGTCCTCTAGATGACCACTGACACTGCTACATTTATTATGTGCCTCTTTGTAACATTTTTGTGAATGAAAAACAGTGACTATATACATAGCTTGGGGTGGGGGGTCAGTGCTAAAGATCACATTTACAAACATCTAATTAATGATGATTGGTTGCAAACAAATGAGGATGTTTGACTAAGACAGTTTGTTTAAGAGAGCTTGTTAAATCTGACTTGGAGCGCTTGATCTGACAACCAGAGAAAAGTAACAGAGCAGTTGAATGACAACATCAAAATGTTCCAACATGGGGCCAATCGGATCTTTTTAAAAAGACTTTTAAATTTAAAGATATAACCAACTATGGATGATCACCCAAAACGAAGCTTACGTGATGCAGCTGAATGAGGATGAAAGGATTTTTTTTTATGCAACATGCAGAATTTTTGGGATTATAGCAGCTTTCAAATATGGAGCTGTCATTAAAGCAGGACCGGGGTAGCCACAGTTGGACAATTTCAAGTTGCATGTTTTTTAAGTCATGCATTTTGCATTAATACTTTAATGTAACAACAGAAACTGAGAACAAATGTCATGTAAAATTGGGGTGGGGAGCCAAATAAATGTATTAATGAAATTTAAGTTATATTTGAAATGTGCAGATGAAACATTCAGACTTTAACAATGCAGTCATTTTAAGATGGAGTCAACTGGAGAATAACTACAAAAGTTTGCCTAGATGAGGAAAAAGATTTGCACAGCACAGCCACAAGAATTTATTCAAGTATGGTTTGTTAATTTACAGTGTTTACCATAGCTGAAGCGATAAACTAAAAAGGTTAAATTAACTTTAGGTCTAGGGCGAGTTGGGACCACGACGTTTGGTCATACACTACTGACAGTGAGTAGCAACGAACGGACTTGAACTAAAACTTACCATGAGTGAGTTCATGTCAAGATACTGAGTGACTTAAAGAAATTAGGGTGAATGAACTTCTGTACATAACATTTTGGATGAGCTGTCATTTAAATACCCAGTCCTTTAATTGGAGCAAGTCCCTGAACTACCAGACATTATAAGAACACAGTTATTTCTTATTAAATTATTAAGGTGATGTACACGTTGAGAAAAAGTGGTCAATGAAAATATGCAACATTTGCATCACTAATTAAAATATCTGGCCTTATAAGCTAAACCAAGAATATAACAAAGTGTAGTAGTAATTATGACAAAAGACTGAAGAACTCGCATAAAGTCTGATTTGTATCACCCCACGCTGAAGGACCCTTCTGCTCATGAGAATCCAAACTTTGAGGTAAATTCAAGCATTAAGTATCAATGAGCACACGCCTAAAAACATCCTTTCATCTATCAAATAGGAGCCCGTTTCATACTCTATTCATTATAAATAAAATGAAGAAAATATAAAAATCCAAGCTCCAAAATCACAATCATAACATGCTCTGCCTTGACCTGTGGATGCCTTTCTAAGCTTTCATGACCCACGTGCACGTGTGGGAATGCGCGTCAGACTACATGTGGTTGATCTTTGCTACTGTTGTATTTGCACATGAGGATGCCAGAGAAAGGTCGGGATTTTGGTCATTCCATCATATGCCCGGCGTTCCTCCATGAGAGTCAAGGCTTCACTGGCTGGATGGACAGCAGGCTACCGAATTTGAAGTGCTGGATCACAGGGAACTTCTCCAAACACTGGAAATAGGAAGAGAGAGGGATCTTTAGAAAAATGATAAGCAACAAATAATAAACACAAACAAAACCCAGCCAAGCACTTAAAAGATGACTGATGCCTCCGTTATGTTTCAAAGGCATTTTTTGTTCTGTGGTTGTATTTCATTTCCTTCAGTAGTTTTCAGTGAAGACAAAAAAAGCTCTCGAAGCTAATGAGCTTTCTGACTGCTTGCTAACTGTCAGTATAGAAGAAGCCCCACAAAGTCATATTTGTATCACCTCTCTGTGAATGAGCCTACTGCTCATTTCAAACTGATTAGCCACTAGCCCCTTTGAGACACGGCACCAGTGAACTTGTGGGCTACATGTGGCAGTTGCTTTTTTTGGGTGTTCAGACACAGCTGCTGTATGGGGAGTTCTGGGCAAGGCTTTGTTCAAACATAGGGCCTATCAAGGTACAGCCACAATATTCATGCAACATCTGACATCACTTGAGACACAAAGCAACACTGGCAGGATGAGCCGTTTGTGGATTTTTAGGTTGGACCAATTTCCAGCCATTCTGCATTAGCTCAAGTCGCTAAACCTTGTCTTCTCTGTACCAGTTCAAAATAAACACTGGATATACCAGAGTTTACATACGCCATGTCCTACTTGATGCCGATTTGTTTAAATGTTGCATCTTACAGTCACCATCCTGAGCACGCTTTTACTGGCAATTTGAACACTTCAGTTCAGACATGTAGCCACACAGAAAGTAGACTGCTATTGGACCAAGTCTGCCCAGGTATACACTTTGCCAGCTACTCAGGGCTTTGTTCAGGCATTACTCCTAGACATGAAATAGCAGGTAAACTGTTGGGTAGGAGTGCATATCTCAAAAGGGGCTACTGTCAAACAAACCAGGTTTCCAACTCAAACCCAGAGACTTCACCTTGACCTAAAGAGTGTTAGAATTTTTCTGCCCACTGGTCTCTCACTCTGAACGTGCTCAAAATGGCTGTGGACCAGCCCAGCAGCAGCTCTTTGTGCATACTGACATGGACCCAGTTTCGAGGAGCAGGGGGAACTGAAATCTTGTGCAGTCTGTGGTAACAATATCGGTCATGATCAACAGATCTGGGGTGGAAAACAAGCCTCAGTGAACATTTGTCAGAACACTTCATCAGTGGTAAATCCGTAAAGCCAGCAAACAGTGACCGGTCAGAAATATACTTTTGATGCAAAAACAAACAACAAAGGCCTTTATAGTTTTTCATGTGCCTGTCGGTAAAAACAGGAAACCGGACTCTTAAAAAAAGTGTATCCACATAAGTTGGTTAACAGAGCTGAATAGCAAACTTTATTAAATCATTTGTGCTTTGTATCTTAAATGGCTTCACTATGTCACATGAACTTTAAATTACTTTTACCATTTTCCCAGTTTTACTTTACTGTTTTTGATATTTGCTCTACTGGCAACAAACACCATAAAAAAATAAAAAAACAAAAACACCCAAAACCATGAATGCATCCTGCAGACAAGTACTGTGTGTGTATCCAAAGCCTGATCCAACTTATTCCTCTGTGTCATAGAGCTCCAGTGTTGTCCAGCAACTATTAAAAACAAATCAATCAGCAACTGGGTGACTTGGTTCTTCATAACCATGAACACACACACACACACACACACGTTTATTTTGACTCAGTGCCACAGACACCATCCTGGTGCCCCAAATACTCACTAGAGCTGCAAATGTGGATTCATCTACCACTGAAAATAGTCCCCAACAAATGCAGTTTTCTTCAGTTTGGGTAATGTTTGCTGAAAACTACAGTGTCCAGCAATTTGAGGGAATTATGTAGCTGTTTTTTTTAAATGCAACTATATTTTGAGCTGTTTTTAAATACATCATCAATAGGACAGAACTGAAAGCCAGAGACAGTAGGTAAGTCAAGAGTCATTTTTTTGGTTTGGAGTGCTAATGTGAATAAAAACTGTGACCAAATTAATTAGTCAACATTTTTGCCCAGGAAGACCTCCACATGTCAAGAAGAAATTGAGATTCTACAATCACGGACAATACTGTTGGTGAAAAATAGGTCACTAAAGTGGAGTTAAAAAATACAACGCAACGGCAAAAGTGGGGCTTGGTTGTTTTAAATTTTAGGTTGTTTTTTTTCCATTTAATGAATTTGAAATATGATGGTGCCCAGAGAAAAAGTGACTGTAGTATTGTTGGGAGAGAAGCCCTGTAGCTACAGATGGGAAGATGCTCACAAGCCTGCAGAAAACACCTCCAGCAGCACCACAGTAAGCGAGGGAACCTAGCGTTAAGATGTTAAATAACGTTACAAGCATTTTAAGGCAACAACTAAAAGCAGTGGTTTAATGTTATCGGTAGATCATAAAAAGGACATTACTATACTTCTTCCAGATTAGGGTTTGTCCTCACTGAAAAGTCAGTAGCCCTTTTAGCTAAGCTAGCTAACCTGCTGAAGGCAAGTTTGTTAAACATGCCATCCATGCCAGAGCACACACACACAATGCCATCGCATTTGATAGTCTTTAGTCAACATAAAACTGACTCAGTGTGGTTGCCTAAATATGCCTAATACTACAATTAAATCAAAAGCTGATGAAATTAACAAATTCAATTAACTTTACCAATAAAAAAAAACAGCAGCATCCTAATTCTATGAATGTGTTTTCCGTTTCCTATGCTGTTAATTTATAAACAAGACATACTGTACTTTACAAGTCCATTTACCATCGCTTCCCTGAGCATGTTTGTCACTTAATGCCCTTTCACTTTGTTTCACACTGCCGAGAGTGTCCCAGAATCAAGCTCGCTCTCAGACAGAAAATGGTGGACTCGGCTCTTTCTAGGCCTTGTAGGCCTACAACTCTCTGCCTGAACCCTGTGTGGGGCCAGGAAAAGGGAGAGAGGAATGCAAGTCTGCTGATGGTTGCTCCAGGCTTGGAGGAAGGTCGGGACAGAGGGAGGGGAGGATTTAATGAAGGGAACGGCAGAGGAGGAGAAGCGGGAAGAGGAGGGGGAGGCAGACAGCTTGGCCCCTCAGCTCTTTGGGAAGACTCACAGGCTGCTCTGGAAAACACAGGATGTGGGCAGGCGGGAGAGAACGGGCTCAGACATCCCCCCAAACCCCACCCTTAACCGCCCACACACAAATCCATTCTCTCCATTCCAAACTTAACCCTTTCCTGCCTCTCTACCCACAGAACAAGTCAGTAAGGCAGTTGGCTTTCTACAGTAACCTGATTTCATAAATGTCATGTACACAAGAAGACAGCTCCTATAATCAGGGCAAAGAATTACAAGAAATCCAATTGGTTGAGCTACATTTTTGTTTCCAGTTCCAGTTTTCTTTGCTATGTTTAGCCTGACTGGGTGTTTTACTGGCTTTCTTTGGGTATGTAGTTCAAAGCCTTCACAGGGAAAATATCAGACAGCAGTGCAGAGTGAGCAAAGCAGACATGCTTAAATGTAGCAATGCCTCTTGTATCTAAACTGAAAGAATTAATTCCAACTTGAAACTGAAGTTCACAGTCAAACAGCTCCAAGCAGGAACAAAAATTTTCTTCAAGCTTTCAACTTTGGTGAAATCTACAAAAAAAAAAATGCACAGTTGAAAAATTGCAAAGGAAACTATGAAGATTTAGATTTGTTTTCTTTTCTATTTGTGCAGTAGATATTTTGTGGTTTTCTATTGAGTTGCAATCTGTCCTTTTAACTTGGTGCCTTTTTTGGTGAATTGATGCTTTAAAACCTGCATGTACTATTCTACAACTAACTATTTAATGGACAGATTATACACTGAAAAGCTGGCATGATTAGTGGGAATGAGAGAGAGAATGAAGCAGGCGTACCTCGGCCTTGTACATTCTGATCAGGCCCTGGTTGACTTTGGACCAAGAAGGAACAGCACTGATGTTCCACAGCTGGTTGGAGTGTTCAGCAAATGGACCCGTCTTCATCTAGAGAACAGAAGGACAAAGACAAGGCAAAAGAGGGACAAGTGAGATACATCCAGTGGAAGTCATTCAGACAGGACTTGAACTTAATGATAAAGCTCCAATAAATAAATAAATATTATACACCGAATTTCACACAGCTGAGAGTTGAAGGATATCGATATAAAGAATATCCACTGTTCAATATCAGCAGGCACCGTTTGTGCTTAAGCTTCAGTCACAAAGTGATGCTCAATAACGAGCTTAAATTTATAGCATATAAACGTTTTGTCCTTGTGAAACATCAAAGTGATGTGTCCAAAGTCAGTTTTTAAGAGGATCAAACCTTCAGTGGGCTGAAAAAGTAGCTTTAAAAACTTGAGTTTCTTCATGATGAAGTTTTGAGCTGCATGAGGTTAGTCAGTTACAGCACACTACAATTACGTCTTTTATTCATGGCAGAAAAGAACCGAATGTGTGGAAAATACCACGCTTATTGACTGCAGGACTGATTTGAGACATTTCATACAGTTTTACACATCGAAAATGGGTCACCAGTGATTCTCAAAGTAGATAAGATGAATTCAAGCTGATTGAAGCTACTTCATTCTATTCACAAAGAAATGAAAAACTTTTCATATCTATCTTGAAAACCTTTTTTTATATCACTTTTGGTGCAGTTTTGAAAAGCACAACTAGTCCTGCCAGAGAATGTGAGAAATGTAGCAGTGGTGATAATGAAGGAAGTGTACACAGTTGAGTTGTCCTGTCAAGGATCAGATCCTACTGTGCATAAAGGAAGATCTTTAACTTTAAGCAGCAAAGAAAAATATTCCTAGTGTTTTATCCCACAAGCCAGGGTGAGACGACAACTGCTTTGAAACTATGTAAACGCTTAAAAAAAAAAAAGTGCCAATTTGTGGAGGCCTGAGACCTAAAAAGTAGCTAGATCAACGTTTTTATATTACCATTGGATCATACGACTACTTGTTAGTAAAAGGTCACTTGTCATGACAAATCAACAGATTCGTCACCTGCTTTCTTTTTACATTGGTTACACTTTCAGCAACATAATGAAGACCATGCAGAACAAAAGGCTAATTATTGTGCCAGCAATCACCTAAATGATAATACAGGACAAAAATGTGCAGAAAAACCTGTAAGCTTGCACTGTAAAAAAAGACGGACGAGAACAAATGTATGGAGTTATAAATATTTGACTGAAACAAGGACTATAGACTGTTTTCCCACCATTTCCCCCAAGAGGCTGAGGAACCCAAACCCAGAGGCATCAATCTAACATCGCTGGCCACCCCCCCCCACCCACCACCACGCACACATTTTCCAGGGCCTCACATGACAACATATGGGGGAAGGGCACAGAAGATGGAGGAAAGGGGGTGGACACAGCCCATATTCCCTAGAGGAAGGACTGATTCACAGCAGCATGTGGGGAAGGAAGTGACTCATGTTTAGGGCAACGCATGCACGCACACTAGAGCCTTGTGTGTGAATAAAAAAAAAAAAAGGAATCCACGTATATGAATATGAGGAAAATTCTTGGGTGCATTATGGAGTGTTGCATGCTCACAGGTTCTAAACAAAAGAGGAAAAACAAGCCTGCAGTGAAACTGAATAAGGCCAGCAACAAATCTTGGAAGCTAAGAACACCTCCGAGTCTATCATGTAAACTCTATACCACTTGCTGAAGTCATTCATTTAGATATTTAAGGCGCTATGCTACAAATATATTTGAATAGACTGATGAGATCGATTGTTTCTTAGAAAATTAATAAATCCCTACTAAACTAAATGTAAAATGGCTTTGCGGTCTAAACAAAGGGTCCACTCAAGGATGTGAAGGTAATCTCTGCAAACTGACTTGCATACAATGCTGGACTTTAAGGGGATAGAGAGCTGAATAATCCAAAATCAAGTAAGCTATGATAGTTTATTATTTGTATGGCAAAAGTCACTCAGCCCTCCTCTGTTAAAGGTATAAATGGGCCCACAAAAGAGCAATAGCTTACAGTTAGGTATTTTTTAGTCAGATAGAAATTGGTTAGATACTTGTTGTATTA